CAAGAGCTTCGGCAGAGAAGTCTATGGTCAGAACAGCATTAGCCCCATTTGACACTGAGCAGAACTAAGATGAAGAGACTTGTCCCACATCCTTCAGCCAGAAAACAGCATAAATGGAACTGGAACCCGTGTCTCCGCGATTCTGAGGCCTCTGCGCTTAAGCGCTGCCCTGCGCTCCCTAATGCGTGGAAGGAAGATGCACGGCCGTGGTCGTGGGTGTTCGAGAGAGTGAGGCCGTCTTTCCGCGGGTAGGTGCAGGCAGGGAAAGCCTCCTGAAGGAGGCGGCTTTGCACCGGATCCCACCACTTCTACAAATACCGAATACCTGTCCCCTTGGTGCCGGAGACACGGAAGAGAACGAAGTCCGTGCACTGTGGGCATGCTGGGCAGGGGTGAAGGAAGGGCTGACGGCTAAATGCCAGCCTCCTTTACCTTCAGAGTTGTTCTGTTCTCCCAGGCACAAACCCCAAACTCCTGGGGAATCTAGAGGAAAGGCCTGGCCCTCCCACTCTGGGAAGGAGCAGAACTCCTACCTGTCCTCCCTAACGTCTATCCTGCATTTCTTCCTGTTCCAATAGATTTCCCCACTTCTCATCTCATTCCTCTTTCTCAAGGCCAAACTCAGAACAGCAACCCGGCAAGCCGAAGGCGTCTGGCCCTTTAAGGCCACCTTCTTCCCCCCACGTGCCGTCTGGTTGGGCTGGCGACGCTGACGCACGCGTGACGTCAATGGCAGCTGGCGGAGTCTGGGCACGAGGAGCGAAGTTGGGATGGGGGTGGGGGGGCGAGAGCGAGAAGGCGGTTCATTTGCATTTAAAGGGGACACTCCCGAATTAGTGGTCAGGGAGCTAAAGAAATGTGCATCTGGCAAACTTTCTGTCCTGGGCTACGAGGCAAGAAAAAGGCGTGGTACGGCTGAAGTCGAAGGTGACTTGAGTTTGCGATGTCAATTATGTCCTTCCGCGGAAAGGGAGAAATAGTCCGTCGGTGCCCGGGCTGGAAGCACGTGACCTGGAGGGGGCGGATGGGGGGGAGAGAGAAGAAGGGAGGAGCTGGGGAGGCGAATGTCAGGCTTCGTTTCAGCTGCCCCCACCCCCACATCCTGCCCACCCTCTTGCAGCTGCCACCACATCCTGCCCAGCCTGGGGCAGGGAAATCTTGTGGGGGGGGGGGCACGGACGGAGGACCCAGCTTTGGCACCCCTTTCCTGCCCTCTTCAGATCCAGGGTGGGGCCTGTGCCCTTTGCCCCGGGCCTGGCCCCAGGCACCCTGGCACTGAGCTTGGGGCACAGCTCTGCCAGCACAGCCTAGGACAGCTCTCTGCTTAACTCCGCCCCCCCCCCTTCCTGGCCCAGAGCTGGACTTGTCTAGGCCCCAGATCAGAGCCTTATCCCTGGGCTAGCACAGAGTTATCAATGGACAAATAGAGGAGGTATTCAATACAGTTTTTATAATGTTAACTAAGATACACAGATATGCACAGATTCAGGTAACAGACATTTGCAGAGTGCATTCCACTCCGGGCCTAGCAAGGCCCTGAAATCCCAAAGCTGACTGAACTGTTGCCCTCAAGGATCTGGTGCCCTCCAGGAGCTCAGGATCTGGTGAAGAAGAATAAACTGGAAACCAAAAATGTCACTCCAGTCTGGTGTGTACTGATGAGGTAGCCACTTGGAGTCGACAGCACTCTGCACAAAGAGGGGTGCAGGATGATGCAGAAGCCCACCCTGAGAATGTGCACACAGAGGGACCACCAAGCACGTGCTGACGGCCCCTCCCCTCACAAACCAGGTGGAAGGCATGGGGAGAGACTGAAAACCTGGGAGGAAGAACGATCAGCCCAATAGAAGGGATGGGATGGATGGAGTGGGGGTGGGGTGGGGATGGTCCAGAGGGCGGTGAGGAAGGCTAAAGGGGTCAATGGAGCAGCCAGGCAGAGGCTGGAACAGCAGGCAGGAAGAGAGGCAGCTCTTGGGGGTGGGGAAGACCTTTCCAAGTAAAGATGGACTAGGGTGCTTGGAGAGATGTGAATAAAGGGAGCTGTTGGTGCCTTTGCTGTAGAAACTATGAAGATGATACTGTACAGAGGAGTTACCCACTTCTTAGGACTTTGGTGGGCACCCATCTAACTCCTCAGGGATTTTATGGCAGCTTTGGACTGTAAGATGACTTTTCTCTACAAAAGATGGGCTGGGAACCAGAGGGGCAGAAGGAAAAATGAAACCCAGGCACCTGAGGTAAGAGGGTGTTTTCCCCCTAGAGGATTCTGGCATGGGTAGTGCAGGGGCTAGAAGAAAAAGATGGTGTGAGTCAGTTTCAGGAAGTCTTTATTATAATCTAACTTCCAGCAACGTTACTCCCTGGATCCTTTCTTAGTCCTCCGTGGAAATCAAGACCTCATATTTGCTACTTTTCCTTTTCATGAAGTTCTCTCTATAAATATAAATATATGCAAATTCTATCCCCTTGTAATGTCAGCCTCTGCGACTCTCTCCTCCTCTGTTCTCTAGTGAATTATTCAGCATCTCAGGGTCCAGGATACTCCATCTCCCCCACTGAAATCTTCCCTCCTTTCTCTCTCCAGCTCCTGGCCCTTTAATGCCCTCCCAGGTGACTCACCTTCCTTCCTCATTCCTTTGTTAAGGACCCAACATTCCAAGGCAGGGAGTACTAGCCAGCCAATCACAGCCCGGGCAAGCCTGCCTCTGGCTTGAGATTGGCTAGAGCTGTGGTTGGCGGGAGGCTCACAGGTCCAGATCTATCAGAGGTTGGGGAGGGGGTTTCTGGAAATCCCACATAGGAAAGAATTTGTTCTGGGGCTGCTTATGTTCTTGGAGAGAATCCTTCAAGGGGAGCTAGGGCCATAGGCGTCTCTGGCTTGGAGAGCCTCAAAACTGGAGGCAGGCTGAGAACCCATCTCTCTTGGTCCCCTGGGGGCTTAGCTGCCCCCCTGCCCACTTTGGTTTTTTCCTGTGATCTCGGGACCCAGTGGTCTGAAGGCTGCGTTCCCAGGCTTGTTCCGAAGAAGTCTTTTCCAGCAGCCCTGTCTCTCCAGTCTCAACATTCTGCTTTCCCGACGTCGGAAACAGCCGGAAAATAAACACCCTGATGACTAAACGGTTTCTCCAGCTAGAGCCTGGGGAAGCACTAAAAATAGAGGCCACAAGTGAGGGGAGGTTCCCCACTGGGGGGGGGACACTTTCCCATCTTGCTACTGCCACAGCCCCAGCCCTGGCACAAGGCTCTGTTCTTCTCACGGTCCTAGGGGACAGGGCAGATGGGCTCCCCTTCTTGTCCTGAGGACTTGGGGGCCAGCTAGCCCTGCCTGGCAGGGAAGACTGACATCTTCTGGTGCTGGGGCCCCATCTCCCAGGTCTGACGGGGAACTGAGAAGCTACATGTGGGGACAAAGCAGGACACTGTTTAAATCAGGTTTCCTGAAAGAGGGGCCAAGTGGAAGGGTTGGAAACTGAGGCCAAGGAAATAAGAGCGTGCTGGCTTCCCATTTTGGGACATACAAGATAAGCCTCCAAATCATTGGCAAGATGGGTTCCACTGATCTTGCCTCCTTTGAGGCTTGTATGGGATAAAGGGCCTAAAGGGGTCTTGGCAGTCCAGCACTTAAGGTATTATAATGTAGCATGAGGCACTGTTCTAAGCAATCTACCTGCATAAACTAATTTAATCGTCACACCAAATTTATGAGCTAGGTACTATTATCACCATCTTCATTTTACCCATGAGGATCATGAGGTACAGCGAAGTTAAGTAAGGTCCGCGTGTTCACAGGTAATACATGGTGGAATGGGGATTTGAACCAAGGCAGCTTGGCTACTCCCATGTTGATGCTTTTAATCACCATGACCTGCTGCTTCTCTCTGTGCATATTAGTGTTTTCACTCAGAACTTAACCCAGCACTTAACCCAGAATCTAGTCCTTGTTCAGTAAATCAGACCCAGCCAGATAGAAATCAGGGTGTGTTAAGAACTGAGTACCCTTCTGTTCTGCAAGGTTCTTAGAGACAGAAGCCATATTCCATCATTTCCTCACGCTCCAGGTCGACAGCAGCAGGCTTTGGAGGTTAACAGGGATGCTGGAGAAGTCTGATGGGCCAGTGGGTAGGCATGGCACCGCACTCCTGTTGTAGGGCACGTAAAGATTCACCACGCTCCAGGGCAACTAGGGATTTTTTAATTTTAATTTTTTTTTTTTTAAGAGCTACTACGACTTCTTTAATAAGATGCTTTTGGGCGTTTCCTGTGCTGGGGGAAATTAAGGTCCCGCCCCTTTAAATTGCCCCCCTCGGCTGTAAGTGCTCTGGGGCCGCAGGCACTGGGGATTAGGTCACCCCAGAACTATGAGCTGTCGCTTTAAATTGCTGGGCGTCTGCCGAGCCGGGCCTGGGAGGGGAGGGGCCCGACACAGGTAGAGGAGCGAGCGAGCTCCCCAGGTAACCCCCGGCCGCGAACATGCTCCTCTCCGCGGGGCTTTGGCGCACACCCAGTGGGGGAGACGGAGTCTTGTCGCCATTTAGCGTCTACCCTGAATTTGTCTACTTAGACGGCCACCTCCAACTCTCCCGGGAGCTTGGGGGCCGAGGGGGGCGCGCTCGCGTGTGCCAGTGCGCGGCGGCCGCCGAGCCTCCGGGGAGGACCGCGCGGAGCGCACGGGGGCAGCAGCACCGAGGGGCATCTCGAGCGGGCAGTCCCTCCGCGGGCGCCTGGCCTCGCCTCTCCGCGCCGCCGGCCCGGCCCCCCTCCTTTTTCCTCCCCTCCCCTCCCCTCCCCTCCCGGCCGGCGGAGGGATCCGCCGCTCCCGGCGCCGCAGCCTAGCCTGGAGGGCGGTGGGTGGGGCGCCCGGCCCGCCCGGCCGGCCGCGGGAGGCGCGAGGCGGGGCCGCGGCCAGGCCCGCCCCCCGGCCCCGCCCCGCCGGCGCGGGCTCCTCCCATTGGCCTCCCTGCCTGTCCATCAGCTCCGGGTCCCACCCCTCAAGCTAGGCTGAGCTGTGCCTACGTCGGCCTCGACTCCCGGGGGCTGGAGGAGTTACCTTTGGAGCCCGAAAGGAGGAAGGAAGCAAAATATCAACAACGCCGAGGCGTCTCGGGCGCTCGGCCCCGGTCCCCCCTGCCCGCCGCGCGCCTGCCCGCCCCCGCGCCCACGGCGGGGGCCCAGGCCCCCCGGCGCCGCCCAGGGCCCGCGCGGACGCCGGCCTCATTTGTTATTCCCCCCCGTCCGGAGCTGCGGCTGCCCGGTGTTGAAGATCCCCCGGACCGGGGGCGAGGGCCACCCCTCCCAGCCGTGACACCCCCTTCCCCCAGCGGGGCCGGTGAGTAGGGAAAAATAATGCGTCTGCCGCTTTAAGAGGCCCCCTCCCCCACCCCGTCCTGGGGTTGGGGTGGAGGGTGGTCTGGACCGTCCCCCTGAGGGGTGGGATGGGGTGGCCCCCGGGTGGGAGGAACTCGCGGAGCTGGCTGTTTTCTGTGCGGCGTCGGTGGGAGACTACGTGGGGGGCTGCTTGTTTGTGTAGAAGACTCGGCCGGGGGACAAGTGCAGGGGGCTCTAATTCCCCTGCGTGTCGGGGTCGGGGTGGGGACCCGCGCTTGGGAGCGCGCCCGTCTGTGGGTGTCGGGGGGTTACGACGGCCTGCGAGTGGTCTGGGAAGGGGCGCCATTCTCAGGGGGGGTCTCCGGTGACAGCCGGGAGCGACTGACATTTTAACAGCCGGCCCTCCCTCCCTCTCCCTCCTCGCGCCGCCTGTTCACTCCTCCTTGGCCCGAAATGGTGCAGAAGGGGGCCTGGGAGGGCGGCGGGAGGGTGGGGGCGGGGGGAGCCGCAGCTGTTTGGGAAGCGGGGGAGGGAGGGGGGACGTTGTTCAGATGACACCGGGGTGGTGGGTTGGGGTGTGTGAGTGTGTGTGTGTCCGGGCCCGGGATTGCCGGGTGCCTGTGGACTTGGGACGCCGAGTCACCACGGAGGTGGGCGCGCGACCCTTTCTTGGGACCTCCCACCCCCATTCCGAGACCCCCACTCTGGTTTGTCAGCAGCCCCAGTTGGAGAAACCCTGGCCAGAAGTTTGCAGCTGTTCGACATCTGGGCAAGAGTTCTCCAGTCCCTCTCTCCACCGATGGCGGGCTGAACTGGTCTGGGAGTGGGGGTCGAGGGAGTGTTTGGGGGGCTTTTGGGGAGGGAAGTCCAAGGAGACCAGGGTGGGTCTTGTGTCTCGCCCCCATGGCAGCCCCCTCCTGTCGGGTTTGGGTCTCGGGGACGGGAGGAAAGGCCCCTTCTCCTTAGTGGTTCAAGCCGACCTCTGGACAGCCTCTGGAGGTCTCTCCCCATGTGGGGAGGGCTCCTGGGTGTGGGCACTCTTGCAGCCACTGACTAGATTATCCCAGGTTTGTCCTTCCGAGTGGGAGGCTCTCTGTACCTCCTCCTAAACAGGGCATTGTTGGTGGTTTGGGGGAGGGTACAGTGGGTGGATCCTCTGCTCCCCTTCCCTGTGCCCAGTCCCCTTTTTGAGGTCTCCTTGTTGGCCTGGTTTCTTTGGTTTTGGGGGTGGCCCTCCCCCACCCTTCCCCCATCCCCTTGGTGGGTCTGCTAGGCAATTCAGGGGCCAGCCTGGACTATGGGAAGTTTGCCGTCTGGGGCGGTGACCTTGGGCTGCTCTGGCCTCGAGATAGGAGGGGAGCCCAGGCCAGCTCGAGATTGGGTGTTTTGAAGTTAGGGAGCTGTCCACCTCCCACTGGTCTTCAAACCCCCAACAGGGAAGCCTTGGTAGCCAGGGAGAGCGTTGAAGAGGCACATGTCAGTGTCCACAGATGTCCAGCCCGCCTGTGGCTGCCGGGTCACACCCGCCCCAGGACTTCGCCTGGCTGTCCCAGCTCCCACGGCCTGCCTGGGAATGAATTTCCTTCCTGTGGTTTCCCAGTGTGTTGGGCAGGAGATGGGGGTGGGGTGGGATCCGCGGGAGGGTGGCTGAGGACCTGTTTACGTGGGGTGATTGGGGAACCCTAGAGCTTACGTGTGGCTCTTTCCCAGTTTGCCCCAGGACAGGCATCTGGACCCTTGGGTCTCAGTGGTCCTGTTCTCTTTGTCGTGTTTCCCTGCCCCCCAGCAGACTCTCCATGTGCTTGTGTACCTGTGTGCACGCGTCTCTGTGTGTGTGGACGCTCGTAAGTGAGGGCTCTCTGGCTTCTCTGGGAAAAGGAAGGGTTTTCACTCCCATTCCTCTAGGGACCAGAGAGGTTGAGCATTTTACCTGAAATCACACAGCAGCTCTGTGTCAGGGCTTTCGTCGAAGTGCCAATCCTTCAGGCATGGCTCCATAGTAGGGAGAGGCCATGAGAGGGAAGACACGGTCCTTGCTCTTGGAACCCCTGGTCCAAGGGGAGCAGCAGGCCCCAGGCAGAGAGAGCATCCTGACCCTTGTGTTGGGGGATGGGCGTGAGAGGTTGGGCTGGAGCTCTGTCTCCTGTAGCCACGGCCTGGCCAGGTGGTGGAGGACCAGGACCCAGACTAGCTCTGACGCACCGCCCGTTGCCCACTGCGCTCTGTGCCCGCGCTCCTGGGCCGGAGGGGCCTGGGCGTCCCAGCTCTGCCCCTCTTGGCTCCAGGCTCTTCGCACAGACCGGGAGATAGGGTAGGCTTCCGACTGCTGTTATATAATCTTTCTCCTGCAGGGTGTTCTTTTCTCTCTCTCTCTCTCTCTCTCTCTCTCTTTCTTTCTTTTTTTAATCTTTCCTGGTCTTTCCTGAGAGGTGTGATGGGGGAAGAAGGTGGAGGGTAGAATCCCCAGGGCGGTCTGGAGTGCTGGTGGCAAGGAGGCTGGGGGAGGCCCTTCGGGGCCCTTCGGGGCCCAGGGAAGACGAGGCCTTAGGTTCGACCCTCACTGATTCTGACCTCGCCTCTCCCACCCTCCTCTGACCCTGCCCTGGGCAGGTCTCTGTTGCGGGCATCCCTAGCCCTTGTGCCCCCAGAGAGGCCTGGCCTTCTGCTCGCCTTGCGAACCTTCTCCCCTGGCCGCCCGGGCCACCGCGCTCCCTGGTCGGCCCCGGGTCCAGAATCCCCGTGCGTACCCTGGCCTGGTGTGGGTGGGCCCTGTGTCGGACAGTTTGCCACCCACTGATGTGCCTGTGCGGGAGCAAGCGTGTCCAGGACGAATGGGCGGCTCCAGCGTTTCCCTGGTTGTATTTGGAGCCAGGCCTCTGGCGTCTGTGCCCTTCTGGTCCAGAAGGCGGGGGCCTCACTGGAGAAGAGGGGTGGTGGGGGGTGGCCAACCGAGGCCCGGCCTCGGGTCGGACGTGGGCCTCGAGTCCATCATCGGGGGTCAGGGTCTGGATCGTGTGGCACTGTGGAGGGGGCTCTCCCCACCCCATGGGACTCTGGGCTCCCTGCGGCCCCTGGCTTTTTACAGGGAGGGAGGAGGTGGCAGGGGCCAGCATCGCCTCAGCATCACTGTAATCGCCAGTGGCTTTTATGAGCAGTCATGGGGCCGGAGCCCGGCCAACCGTCTGTCCTTCTGTCCCAGTTTGGTGACTTACTCATGGTGGGAGGGGGAGGCGTGAGGTGCTAGTAGTCGGTGTGTGGGAAGCTGGACACCTCACTGTGTTGTGGTTGGTGCCGGCCCATCTGCCCACCACTGCAGCGGGCAGGACGGAGCTCAGACTTCAGGCAGAACTTACTGGTGGCGCCAGATGAGGGGACAGGGGTGGCTCTCACTCGGCCTAGGAAACGTGGGGATCTCAAAGTGCTTTCTCTCTAGCCATTCTTGGTGGCTCTGCTTTCTGAAAGGCCTCCAGCAGTGGCCTGGTGGGGATGGGGTATTTGTTTTCTCTTCTGCCCCCCTGCCTGAGGCTGAGGAGAGTTTGTCCTGGAGCCCGCCGAGGGGTGCTGGGTAGGGTCTTGTGCAGACTGCCGTGCCCAGACGCACCCGGCAGGTCCCCAGCATTTAGTAGCACGTGTGCATGAAGGTGTGCAAGCACATACACACGGGCATGTAGACGCCCACGGAGCACGCTGCTGCCCTGCGGGGGGCGAGGGCTAGTGCATGGGAAGATGATTAAGGGATTGGAGGCTGGGGATGGGTGGGGGACCAGGGGCGAGGAGGCGGAGGCCTGCAAGAACTTGGAAGAGGGAGGGCTGACTGGAGCAGGAGGGATTGAGGTTAGACCACAGATGGGCAGCCCTAGAGCGTGGCTTTGCCAGTCGAGGAGCGCTGGCTGACTCCCATCACTGCCCCTGCAGCGCCCCCAGGGCCCCTCCCTGTGGCCGTGGCTCTCGCTCCGCCTCCGCCCCCCCCCCCCCGCCGCCCATGGACCACGTGCCCTGGGGTAAGTCAGCTTTCCAGGTGGACAGGAGTCGCACTAGCCTGGTGGCCATCAGAGCGCCTGGGAGGCCTGATGGTTTGCGCTAGTCTCTGTCTCCCTCCCCATTCACTCTGATGAGCAAGGCCACCCCGATGTATCAAGGTTGCATCTGAGCCCTCGGGCATTGTGGGGTAGATCCCTGGCCTGGGGGGGGGGTCCCCCCAAGGCCCTTCGCATCTGCTTTTTCCTTTTCCTGAGGCTCTGGCTGCAACCTCCCCTTCCTGGGAGCCTAGCCATGCTTCTGGCTGGTCCTGGCTGGCATGGAGACCAGAGGATATGCTCACAGACTGTGCACAGGACCCCGTGAGCCTTCGCAGGAGTGGGGAGGCGGCTGTGCCTGCTGGGCGAGCTCTCTCCCTTCTGCTGTAGGCTGGGAGGGGAGGGGCTTCTCCAGAGCTCAGCCTGCTGCTGGCCACACCCAGGCGGGACCATATTTACTCATTTAAGCTCACCCTCCCAGGAGGCTCTGGGCTCTAGGCCTGGTCACTGACCTTGGCTTGGTGCCTCTGGCTGGGTGCTCTGGCCACTCCCCGGGGAGCTGGGCAGACCAGGGAAGCATATAGAAAAGGAGATGTTTTTGCCCTCTGGTCAGGGGACCTCCGCCATGGGCAGTACCCTATTCGCTCTTACTTTGGAGACCTGACACTAAAGCTCTTGAGATCCCTGGGGACTGGAGGAAGGAAGCTTCTGTTCATCGCGCCCTGTGTGCCAGGCTCTGTGCTGGGCACGGGAACGTATGAAGACTCGTTGGTTTCCTGGCATAACTGTTTTTTATAACTGGGGAACTGAGTCAGAGACTTAAGTGATTTGCTAAGGGGGTCATCCACGCCATCCCTTGCCTCCACGTCACGTGATCCAGCTGGAGCGGGAAGACCTCATGGTCCCTCTTCCCCGGTTGGGAAGTGTTAGGGGCTTTGTCTGCCGCTAAGGGAAGGGTCCAGGGGAGCAGGAGACCCAGAGAGAC